GAATGTTGTTATTCACATCTGATGAAGTCGGTTTTGGTAGGAATTCCTACTTACAGTAAAGATTTCTGTTGCTCAGTTAGGAGTATAACCTTTCTCCAAAATGTGCTTACATTTACTAATGCGAACTTTGTCACTTGATGTGCTTTTTTCCTTGTTTATGTTGTTGAATTTTTTTGAATTTATTCTTATTTCCGCAACTTCGAACTTTTTTTAGACTGTTTCGAGTAACTCCTATTATCCCACTAATTCCATTAGCAAAAGTGACATGAACAGATTTCATTTGAATCGAGCCATGTTTAGTATTATTGTAAGTACTATTATCACTCATATGTAAGGAATTTCATTTTTTTTTCATTGTGTAATTAAATCGTTTACAAATGTTAAATACATCTTGACATTATATTGCTTTATGAATTCACAATCTTTATTATAAAACTTTTTCCCTCGGTCAATGTATAGATTTTCAGGTACTTTTCTCCTTCAAGATTGTCATCATTGCGGCAATGATATTTTCACCATTCGTAGTTTTAGTTGGTACAACCCAAGCATACTTTAGACAATTATTAATAACTGTCAGCAAATGTTGATGTGCTTTTTTCCTTGTTTATGTTGTTGTTTAGTGCTAAGCAAGGAACTTATTCATATTTTCGTCAAACGTTTTTATAACTCCAGCTTGTTTACGATTAACTCTTTTTGATGCACGCAATCGATATGACTCATGAAGTTCGAGTGTTTTAATCCATTCTTTTTTTTAAATTGTTCGATACTCTTGTGATGATTCTATATGCTGTTCAACTTGAGCATCAAGAGTCTTGATTTTCTCTGTATTTATTACGATTAATCTCTTCACGTTTAAAACTGGTTCTTTTGAAAGACGTAATTCTATTTCGATGAATTTTTTTAAAAGTACAATTTTTTTCAACAACCTCCAATGTAACACCATCATCCTAATCTTGATCCGAATTCGAATCTGTGCATCTTTCGTCAACTGACGTTCTAAAATATCAACAATCATGATCTCTCCTCAACAGTGGATCAATCAATGAGTTTTCGTTGATCAGCATTGAATTAATATATAATTCCAGCTTTATGTAATTCTTTGATTATAAACATCATTTCATTATTATGGCTGTAATTTTCATCTGTATGCGATGAAACAAGTAGACGCAATTGATCGGTAAATTTATTTGGATCATCCCAATGATATCCAATGGTCGATGGTAATTTGTCATGTGTCGAGGAAAACTTTCTCCACTTTTAAATAAATATTTGTTAATAATATGACGGTACTTTTTTGAATATTCATCCTCTCTGAGACTTCGATCAGGGTGATAATGTTAATGATATGCGTAGGTGCTTTCTAATGTTTGCCAATAAGTTTTCTCATCCTTCTCTCTGTTGTGATTGTTGAATCGGGTGATTCTATACATAATAAGAGCCTGTGAGTAATCTCATATTTTATAGTGCTAATATGAAAAAGTTTATCATCAAATCTCGCTTTGGTATAACCAACCATTAATCAGTTGTTTCCAATATGCTCACTACAAATTTTGTATCCAATTCCTTGACTTGACGTTCGGAATCAAATTTTTTAAGATACCGAACTACTGGAATTTTTCTGATTAGCGTACTTTAGTGAGCTGATATTTCTCTCATTGGCATACTCTGAGCAGATGTAAAAGACTCATCATCAGTCATAAAATCACTATACATGCTATAATTGATAGCATTGTCATCTGCTTGAATGGGTTTTCCCTTTATTGGCTCTTTTTTGTCAGTTTTTCTTTTTAATACGGGTTTTCACAATCAATTGTTGAAGAGTAGTTACGACGGGTTTGATCATTTTATCTATAGCCCGTTCGGTATTTTCTCAACCATGTTTGATCATTTCATATTTTCACTTTTCAATTTCGGGTTTTTTCTGTATTTTAGTTGACTTCATATTGTCACTACGTAAAGGGTCTTATTGGTCATTTTTGTTGATGAAGCAATTGAATCTTTTTCTATAACGTCCACAATTCATTTTACTATTTACATTCATCATGCCAACATTTTAAGAAAAGATCTCGAAATTCCGTGAATGATATCTCTGTGCATAAGTTAGCCAGAGATAAAAAATGTCTGCGTCTCTATATCGTCCTATACAAGGATATGCACGCATAGTATTTCACTTTTTACATGCCGCATCATCAAAGATCATTCTTGAGTAGGGTTTGCTTGATCAGGTTTCACAATTTCTTAATGACTATTGAAAGGAAAACAACCAACAACAGGTTTGGGTAGCGTTTCTAGACATTTATAATTAAGCTGATGTATAGAATCCCTAGCGGAATCTAAAGAACCGTTTAGAAAAGGTTTGAAATAGCCAAAAAAACTGTTCAAAGACTGTTCTTAAAACCATTCAAAAACAATGAAAGAACTTTTTTATTCTCATAAATTATCAAGAGAGCTTCCTAGATAAATTGAATGAACTTTTTTCTTTCATAATTGCTTGTGCCACGAATACAGTTGACTATGGTATTCCATAAGCCTTTTACAATAAAAACTCGTAGTTATCAACTTTTTGTTATTCATAACAATCAATATCATCCACTAACATAAAAAAATAGTCACATATTGTTTTTTACAGTTTTTCATGGCTATAAAAATATGGCAATAGATAAATAATCCATTCCTTATATCTAAATTTACTTGAAAAATTTCTGCATTGTTTATAACAATTTTATCTCGAGCATGGTGCAGGGAATTGTAGTCATAACACGTAGCCTAGTTATTGTGTTTAAAGGAGTTAAGAGTAGTTCAATTTGCTTTTATTGTAAATGTGCATGAATGCGAGTTGTCGTGAAATTCAAATATTCGGCCAATCTCAACGAAGCAGTTAACCAGCAGAAGGGAATATTCTTTGGCCTAGAAAGGGGCAGCTGTTACACGACGTGTTTTGTGAGGATCGTCCGTCTCATATCTCTTTACTATTCTATTAGTTGACTAAGTCAGCTAAGAGACGACACCTAGCACTACCTCAAATTTATCCTTGGAGGTCGCGTCAATAATTACCAACCGACCCATTCTTAATCAATAAAAGGATCAATAGTTGATCAAAAATTTTAAATTATAGATGAGGGCGTAATTAAGCTCTTTGCCCTACTTCCAATCAAAAAGCAATGAATAAACGATGATTACCAGAAGCTTCACTCGGTGGTTGCTTGTCCAGTTGAAAAAACGTCACTCGGCATCGTTTGTTGTGCCGAAAAAATATCACTGTTTTATGAGTCTTACAATTAATTATACAAAAGCGAACGATCATGAAGTTTAAGAGAAGATCTATTGTATCATCGGGTTTATTCTCACTGTTGGAAAAGCCATTAGTGGCCAGGAAAAAATCGTTGGTAAAAGTACAGTACACCGAATATCCAGCCGTTGGTAGTGGAGCAGATCAACGACAGCTACAAAAGGAGCTATTTGCTGATCTTGGGTGCAACGTGGGACGTCGCTCGTAAGCCATATCTTTATCTGCTAGTGAATCTACTATTATTGTACAGCGAGCGTGTGACGCGAAATTGTTATTGAATAATTTATTGAGTGATTAAGAAACGCTGTAGTCAGGAATTTTGGCGACAACGAGTCTTTGTCGTATCGTACGCCCAGATCTCTCTTGAGACTGGAAATTATCATTTCATTAGACTCATGATTAGTCATTTGATCGATGTTGAATTGATCTAATTATTTGATTGATATTTTTTATATTTCTTATTCGAGAGACATATTGTAAGTTTCGTTGATACTTAATTAATTATTGTGATATAATTTCAGCTGCTTTGGCAATATTATTGTAATTCACGGAGAAACTAATTACACACTCTGTTACATTGATGATTTATATGTTATTTTATCGATTAATTTATTTGCTTAATTAGTCAAGCTGCGTGCAAGGGTCTGCGAGAAATATTTGGCGATTCAATCTTGATTAGACATTTCGTTATTTAGTGGCTGACGCGAATTAAATTTATTGATAATTATTATTATGAATACGGTGACCCACTGGAGCCGTAACATTTCAAATTAATTGATAATTGCTGAATCCCGACATACCTCAGGATTGAGAGAATAGTTACTTCTTTCACGATCGGTGCGGCTTGTAGAGAGCACGATATTGTTTAACCAACAAATCAAGAAAACGTAGAAGCGAGAAACGCTGCTGATAGAGTGCTTGCTAAAAAAAACTTGACAAAGGGTGTTCTCTAAAGACGCGATTCGCAGAAAAAAGCTGCTGCACTAGGAGTAACAAATATTGTGAAAATTGGATCAAAATTCAGAATAGGCTTTAAGGAAGGATTGGGAAAGAAGGAAAAGATTTGAAGAAAGAACCGTTAAGACAAATTATGAATTCGGCTAAATTGATGGTGCATTCGGTCGCTAATTCTATAAAATCACCATCGATAGCTGCACGAAAAACTGTAAATACAGTTTGTGGAATAAAGAATGTGAGAATCTCACAGGTATTACCTGTACCCACTCAGGTCGGTGGTGTTGAAGGTTTTACCACGTACACTAATATTCACAGGTTTAAGTGCTATCGATGCTTTAGTTGGTGGAGCTTCAGATACTGCGAAAGCAGTTAATGATGCTGAAACTGCTCATCGACAATTAGATGAAGCAAGATGTCATAATCAGAGAATGAAAGCGATAACCTTGGATAGAGGTTTACGCTTTGAACGTCGAAAACGAGAATATGGCTTATACTTGAAACCGGTAAAAAGATCAAGGAACTACCTTATCGAGCATTAAGTAAAATCGATATTCTAGAGTATGTAAAAATCATTATAATTCTATATGTGCGTAGTATTTTCAGGAGAAATGATTTACTGAAATCGAAATCCAAGAAAAATGAATCAGCTATAATCAATCTCGAAAAAAGACGGACCTGGAACTCACTTATTTTAAAGCAGTTTTATGAAAAACACAGACATCCACTCACTTTTATTTATATAGAAGATAAGTACCTGATAATCTGGTGACATTGGCTCCACTGGTCGAGCGACTACTAATCTCACATGCGTTCCTGATTGCCTTAATACTGCTGCGACTTGTTCACTCCCCATTCCACGTAAGTTTACATCACCAATTTGAAGTATATGATCACCACTCTGTAATCGATTATCCTGGAAAAATGTGTCTTATAAATACTTGCTTTCTTAATGCCGAATTATTTGCTTAAATTAATTTCTCTTCAATAGTCACAGCGGCCAATGGTAGCTAAGCCGAGAACGTTGCTCTAAAAAAAAATTTCATAAAACTTAGCCTAATTATTGTAATGTTCTCTGCGAATAGAAAATATTCGGATATGGTTCTTGAAAATTGGGCCAAGTCTTATGAAATTTTCGTCGAATTAACTACTCATTCAAATTGACTAAAAATTAATTACAGAATAAAATTTATCGTAGATATTTATCTGCAAAATTACTTTTTAAATTATTAATAGAAAAATGGGATAAATATTTCTTTACACTCTTCATTGAAATTAAGAAAAAAAAGTGACGTCATTTTATAAATGTGTTTTGTATTTTTACTCGTTAAAGTTGCAAATATGTAAGTCATATGCTTAACCTTACAAATTTTGAGTTCCTTTGTTTAGTCCTAACCTGTCGATCAATAGACAGGGATTAGAAAGTAAAAATGTATGGTTTACATAAAAACAATTACAAAATTTATTTATGGAGAATTATTGAAATATTATAATAACTATTTAAAACCAATGAAATTTCTAAAAAATGATTTCCTCAACTATTCTTCGAAATCCTTCCAATTTTAACAACATTATAGGAGAACTCAGAACATAACTTAAGGTATAATCATTACCCTTTTTCCTTAAGTCTAATTACTATTCATTTCATGGAATTTTATTTATTTCTAGCTTATATTTATTATTTCGTCTCCAGTAGTATTCATTACCAGGCATATATCATTCCAGACAACTTAATAAATAGCTGCTAGTTGTCAATGTATTGTAGAAAAATTAATCAACAAATACGCTTATCTTAGCTGTAATATTTCTAAACATATTAATACATTATTCACAACTGTTAATAACAAATGTAATTGTGAAAAACAAAGAATGCCCTTCATACCCATGTAATAGAGTTAGTAACCCGTTTTCAGTAAGAGACAAAATTTTCCGTTGAAAGAACTCAAATTGTTAGCATAGATCTTTTTTTACACTTTTTATAACATATTATATTATTATAAACAACGAGCGTTCATTTCTATTCATGTTATATGGTTAAGAACTTTTTTCAATAAGCAAAAATATTTACAGTTTGAAGGAATTGGATATGTTGCATGAACCCCGTTTTCATTTGTTAATAACAAATTCAATTTTTAAAATTAATTTGCATAAACAAAAAGTAGCTTACAACCTTTCTGGTAACTTTTCGTCCATATTTGCCACGTTTAGCCGCAATTCAATTTTTACTTTAGATCAACTTAAGCCGTCAATCAGAACACTGAAATCAAAACTTAAAGCTCGATATGAAAGAAAATTATTTCCGCGATCGTTAATTGCTCATTAGAAATAAACATGAATGGAGGTAAGTGTACCATTTATATGAAAATCTCTAATATCGACAATTTTACATATTTACTTCTCATAATAGACTGTAGTAAATTCTCATATGAACACTAGGGAACATTAATGCCTGGTGGTATCTGATGAGCAATTATCGACGGTGAAAATACTCTTTATTCATATTGAGTTTCGAATCTTATTGGAACTCTAATTTTTGAAGTTTTGGCTGGATCAAAAAAACTACAAAATTCGTCATTTTTTTTGATGTATGATATTTTAGGATGTAAAATAATTTCCTTAATCATTAGAAACGTACAAAGGTTTGTACAGAGCTAGCATACAATCATTTAAGATGTTTACATTTATCTATCATGAGCTATATGCTTGAGTACGGAGAGTAGAGATTGAGCTTCTTGCGAGCTGCTATAACTCGCTGTCTTTCTTCTTATAAGTAAGACAAAGATAGATGAATATACTTCGTGCTCCGCCTTTCTCGGAACAGATGATTAAGGAATTTGTAAATTTTCTGGTGCCCTGAGACTCCCTTTTTTAAAGACATCTCTGAAAATTAACATTTTTTGAACGATTTTTCTGTTACCTACTCAATTTTAGTTGACGTCAAGCTTCCACCTTCTACTATACAAAGAGAAGGCGCAAAGTCAACTTCGGATTTTTTTTTGTTATAGCCTAGCCTTAAGTTTGCGGTATTTTTCTTTTTTACGAAAATACGCTACCTTTTAACAATTAACGAGCATAATGTATTATGCTATAGTATGTACAAAAAACGCTTTGTGTCATTTATTCAATCGGATGTTGTTGTATGCAGTCGCAATATCCTGGTGAGTTGGTATCTATTCCAGTTCCATTAAGTTTTTTTTTCTCTTTCAGCCCGACCAGATAAATTTGTATTAAGTCAATCATAGTGCTGCTATTAAACTTTTGAAGAAGTGTACAGAATTTACTAATATTGTCTTTTGTAAAAATTTGGGACCTTAATAATTTGTTTACACTTATTCTATGGGAATAAAAATTTCATGCTTATTAATCCATTTCCGACCAAAGAACAAGCAATTTTACTTGATGGCTCAGAAGATGTACCTACCAAAGAGTATGCTAAAGCTATTGCTGCTCTAGTCTCTGCTTCTGCCATCAGATTCATTTCTCGTATCTCAAACAATAAGATCTGCGTCTACCTGTCGTCAAACGAAGTCGCCAACTGATTTCCATAAGCAGGTTACTGTCGCCAATAGTGTGTTAAAGATAAGACCCCTTATTTCTCCACTCAAAAGGTTAATCATATCAAATGTTCCGCCAATTATTCCTCACTAATTCAGAACAGAATTACTCTAGCTTTAAACGTGAAGGAGCTTTATCGTTACCTAACGGCTCGCAGTATGAAGTTTAACAGTTTAGATCTTGACAGAGCAACCTCGTACATTGCCAGCACCCCTAGTATGCCCACCTCTAGCATAGATAACTTAAACGAAAATTGAGGAGCTGACAAACCTATTAGAGTGACTTTTTGGAACGCCAGAAGCATCTTCAAGCGATTAATAGAGTCGGAGTCAACGCTGCTCAAAGGATCGGACATCTTCATCGCTGTGGAGTCATGGCTACAACTAGATGACATCATCCACTTTACAGGCTTCGTCACCTATCGTGACGATAGACTCTACTCCAGAGGGGGGGGGGTATTGTAATCTTTATTCGCAAGAACCTGGCCTTTAAAGAAATAAATAGTTTTAAAGCAATAGATCCTTCAGTTGAAATTTGTGGTATGCAATTAAAAAATGTTAACCCAGCCATAAAGATCATGGTATGCTATAGAACTCCTGATTTCATCCTCACTAGGGGTCAATGGGACGATATAGTCAATTTGGTCAATCCTCAACAACACAGTATTTTGACAGGAGATTTTAATTCTCATAGTCAAAGGTGGAATTGCAAGGATACAGATAAGAATGGTGAGAGGTTGATGGTGAGCTTAAAACATGATATTTTATTTTTACTTGCTAATAACTCTATCACCCGAGTCGACTCTAATCAAAACTCAAAGTCCAATATTGACTTGGCATTCTCCTCTTGTAATTTAGTAGATAAAATTGACCTTTGAGTGAGTGATAAAACCTTCGGTTCTGACCATTTCCCCCTCTTCTTAAATTTAAATGTCAGTATGTCAAATATTGTTACAAAAAAGAATCATTCAAACTAAAATCTATAAACACGAATTGGAATAAGTTTGGAGCTTATCTCAATAAAGTCTATCCTCAGTTTTTAAATGCGGAGTTCGATAACTTATCAGCTCTAGGCAAATAGTTTTTTTTTTAACTTAATCATGGATGCAATGAAGGCGCTCCTCCCCGCAAAAATAAATTCAGAGCTCACAGCTTAGCAATGACTGCAGTAAATAAAGCGTCTTATCAAGTCATGAGCAAGGGCGTTCCTCAGGGCGGTGTCCTGAGCTCTCTATTGTGTCTCTTATATGCAGCAGACATCACTAGAAGACCTTGCCCTTTATGCTAGAACTAAATCCGTTACCAATGGCCTTTCTTGAATCGAGAAATCAATTGAGACATTGAAACCCAACTAGGTCTTGAGCTGGCACCTCAGAAGACAGTGTTAATTCATTTTAATAAGAAAAAAATAACTCCGGGTAATGTAAGCGTCAAGGTCAATAATGTCAGCCGATTCATTTACACACGTTTAACAGTCCCGACTGTTCTAGCATCCAAATATCCTAAAAACTACAGGCCACATAATTCTGATTACCGTCCACCTGTAATTTCTGTCCATCTTTTTCCACCAGCTCATTAAAGTCAGAACAATGTTTCTTAGGAGAGTTCTGTCAAACTCTTCGTCTTCCCCCACCACTAAAATTTTAGAATACAAAAAAAGATGTTTAAAAAATAAGAACAAAAAAAAGTTGATCCTTAGATAATACATAGAAGCTTTTCCTGAAGTTGAATTCAGTTCAATACATATAAACTCATCTAACATTTACTTATATGAATAGAGAATTTATACTACTTCGATTCCTTTCAACAAGAGTATTGGACGTGCAATTAAAGATTCAAAAAACCGCACTCTCCTGATCAATAGTGTCAATATTCAGAGTAATGCTCTCTTAATCTACACTGATGATAGCAAAATATCTGGCAATCCTTTTGTAGGATTTGCCTGCTGTTGCGTGAAGTTTAACATCAATAGAACCAGATCACTTAATTCATAAGCCTCAATGTCAACAGTCGAGTGTATCGCCCTGAGTGACGCTATTGATCTCGCTTTAGAAAACGAAGATAAAAGTTTCCACATTTTCTTTGACTCATTAAGTGTCTTGAAAAGTCTTCAAAGTACTAAGACAACCATCAAAACCAACTTATATATCTTAGAATTTAAAAAAAAATACATCCAGCCTACTTCACACCATGTTGACTTTAACTCTAACCCTATTAAAATCTACTGAGTGTCAGCTCATTTAGGTGTCTTAAGTGATGAGAAAGCGGACTTCCTTGCTAAAGAAGCAACAGTGTGCTCTCCGAGAGAGGACATAATTCCTATCCCTTTCACAGACCTTTTTGAGAATTTAAAAAAAAACGG